GAAGGTTGGCAATTCTGAAAGTACCTCATGAACCCCTTTTCTTACCTCCCCTAAAACTTGATTATCTCGTCACCCCTTGAATAAGATACCCCTTTCAAGCTTAACATTCTGATTACTTAATACTTTCTCTAAAGTTTTTTTTTTTTTTTGGCCTCTTCTCTGTCCGTTGGTATATTTGTTTATTAGGTTATACAATTAAAATGGAACTATTTTATCCTAGAAAGCCAGCTCTGATGTTTTGGAAAGATTATGTGCCCCTAGAACACATCATATTTTACAATCAAATCTGCTTGTTTGTAGGTCATTAAACAGGCTATTGTAAGACTTTCAGTTTTTGTGGTGATGGAGAATTTGAATTCTGTTTTGAGTAGGTTTTTTTTTTTTTGACCTTACAATGTAAAGGGAACAAATCATGTCCTTGATGTTTCTAGTTAGTGGTTTTTTTTTTTGAGAAGTAGCATATATCGTGTTATAGAAAAAACGCCTAAAATGATTTTGAAAGTAATTGTTGCTTTTATGCTACTGAAGACTGTAATTTTCAGGAGAAACTTGCATATAGACGTACCTACCATTTTTTACTCAGGAAGTGTTTCTGAAAGTTAGATGTGATTACTATCTTAAATGAAATTGCATTTCAATCACTAACAACTTACAGAGTCCTATTTTGACTAGAACTCTATTGTATTGTTTGTGATTTTCACATATGTGTTGAGTGCTTAAAGCAACAAATAGATTTAAAGGTATCAGGTCAGGTTCTCGGCCTTTTTCAGTTTCATGACTTTTTGGAAGTATTTTTTGTGACATTTTGGTGGCTTTATAATTACTTATGCTTTGTGAGGTCCAGCCTTTTTTAAAACAAATTTTACTGATTAGCCATTCACTTACAAACTTTATAACTTAGGGAGTATAGCTTCCTACTTCATCGTCTCCACGTGCTTAAACCCCATCTCCCCAAAGCTCCAGTGCCAGTACACTTTCCACATTAGTTCCTCTACCCACCACCACCATAACCTCCAAGTTTTTCAGAGTTGTTAGGGTCAGTCTTTAATAAGAACTTCACACATTTAAAGCTTTTTGAATCACATCAGTATTGACTTCACAAACATTCTGTTTTCTTACCCTCCTCGTGCCAGAATTTTAAGTTGGTGAGATTCTTTGTTTGATTATAGGTAATTAGCATGTAGGCTTTTTCCTGCTTGCTGCCAGATGCCCAATGCCTTCAAACAGTGCCAGATATAGCACAAATGTAGTAGCAGCTCAGTAAATATTTGTTGTTGAATGAATCTCAGTAAGGGAAAATGCAGCAGAAGTAAATTAATTTTTACATCTGTTAACTGTCCAACCAGTGTTTTTTTTTTTTTATACTCACTTTGGAAATATCTTCATTTTTAATTTCTATAGCGAAGTCATATTTCTGTTTTGTGAAATGGAGCTGGCTACCAGATTGTCCTTTAATATTTTCTATCCAATGTTTCTATTTCTGGATTTATCTCAGTAACAGGGTATCTATAGGGAATCAGTGGACTTTCATATTTGGCCTGTTTTCTCTTCAGTGATGATAAAGACTATATCTTCACATAGTATCTACACATTATACTAAGATATTTAATAAACATTTTATCATTGTAGAAGTAAGCCTACCTTTTTAAATCAAAAAGGTATAATTTGACATCGAAAATATGAATATAAAATTTTTCCCCATCACATGAATACATTGATACTGACAATTTGTAGAGTTGGTGTGTTTTTTCTTTTTCTTTCCCTTTTCTGGTTGATGGGATTATAGTCGTAGTAATTATGAATCTTTGGAGAAGAGGACAATTTCTTTTACAGAAAGTGTTTTTAGTGTTCTGGATGAAGTTCTGGATACTTCCTTTGTGATGGAATAAGCAAAAATGTTCTTAATGGATTTTAAGAAACATTTGTTCTCTTTATAAGAAAACAAGTAGGGAAGCTGGAGTTATAGTTCAGTTATTTTAAAGAGAAGTTGAGTTTCTAGAAAATATCATATTAGCACATATTCTATTACTATCTGCTTTTTGAAGAGTGTCACTATAAATTGTTACTTAGGTGTTTTTACATGATGTTCTTTATGATAGGTTTTATTATTGATCACAAATGAGTAATTTAGAAGTTTTAATGGAGTATCCCCTTTCTGTTTATGCTTTTCAGTATTTTTCCATTGGAATTTTTCCTTGCTCTGAATCCTCTTTGATAACAAAAAGAAATTATTATTTGACTCAGGCAGTAATATAGCCCTCTTATTGTTTTGAAAACCACTGCTCAGTGGTCTATTTACAAATATGAGTCTTTTTGATGCCACTTTCTTTGGAGTTTCTGATCTTCAAAGCTTCACTTTATTGTGCAGAAAGAAATTGGTTGTTCTGGAAAGATTTCACTGAGAGAAAACAAAGTTATAAGGAAAGCTATTTCAAATTTTATTCATTCATAATAGAATTCAAATGCACATAGTTTTGCAAGCACTGAAAAGTCTAAGGTTATGCTTTAGGCTTTGTACTTCGGTTTTTTTAGTAAGGTCATTGAGTAAGTTCCCTCAACCCCCACCCCTACCCCAGCCCAAATCCTCCTAGAGTAAAGCAAATGACTTGATCACTGTCTAGTTGATCTGTCTTGGATATCACTCCTTCAAGGAAATGTTCCACCTTGTGCCCTGAGTACTAATTTAAAAGAGTAGTCAAATGAAGTTTGAGGTAGTTCTCTAAAAATTCCCACTACGCTGTTGAATAGAAGATTGTTCATGTTCTCAAGTGGCAGCACAAAATCTCACACCCTGATCTGACCAGTATGAAAACAACTGCTAGCACAAAGTGTCCTTCCTCTGTCCCCAGCTGAAATTGGGGGAGGGACAAAGCCCAATTGTTACTTTACCCCATCCCATCTGCCTGCTAGAAGGCCTGTTTCCTACCCTAATGGTTTCTGCCTAACAAATGGTGTTTCTTTTTTACAGCATTATGATCCTGGACTTGTTGTGGTGATGGTAAACTTAGCAGTGGTAATTTTTTATTTTCAGACTGAATTACTCCTTTTGTCATCAGTGCACCAATATGTTAGGCTTACTTTCTCTGTTGTAGCCTTCATCCTTCTGCTTGGTCTTTTTCATTTTCCTTTCCTTTCCTTATGCAACTTGTCTGATCCTTGTTCATTAAAGGGTAATGTTAAGAAGGGATGTATCTGTGTTAGAACTGCCAAAAAAAAAAAAAATCAGTTAAAACATTAAATTCTAATACTGTCAAAACTTGATTTCCCCACAATGTAATGGGCACTAGCACTTGCTACTGCAATTTATAAATAAATTAAAAACAAACTTTGACTGCCTTAGAAGGCAAAAGTACTAATGCAGTTATAAACAGGGGTTTACAGAGGTAATGAATTTGTATTAAAACTTTCTTGCTTCTTGCAAAACAAATTCTGATAGACCAAAAGAGATACCAAAACAAAAAGTAAATTCCTTTGACATTTCCTTTCAATTCTTTTATTGGACCATTTGTTTTTACCAGTAAATCCCTGATTGAGACGTTATGAAAGTGATATTGCACCTAGGAAGTCATTTTTATAACCTGTCTTTAATTTGGTCCTTTTGCTAAAGATTGCAGTCACTGCTTATTTATTATACCATTGGGCATAAGGTAGTAATGCATTTTCATTTTGTTTGACTGGCTGTTTTTGATAGTATCTAAATGAAAGGCATGTATTTTAGAACTTTTCCTCTTTTTAGCATGAAATAGTCTTTATTTACTTAAGTATTTTTCAATACTTTTTAAAGCTTATCTCCTTATTGCTAAAAATAATGGGATGTTGGTGATAGTAGTTAAACTTACAAATTTATTTTTCTTTTTAAAGACAAAACCAAATCCCACAAATATACAGCAACTGCATAAAAGCCAGTCATTTTGAAAACAGTTTCTCTTTTCTCCAGGACCAAACCCAGTCATGATCATGGCTTTTATTGATTGACTTTTTAATAAAATCTCAGAGTTAGCCTGACAATAAGATCAGCTTTTTAGCCCAAAGGTATAATATATATGTGTGTATAACAACAACAACAACAGCAGCAGCAACAACAACAACAAAAAAACAATTGTTTACACCAGCCTGAGAGAAATGATGAGGGAAGTAAACATTGTGTTTTTTCACTAAAGGTGTACAACGGGTAAGGTAAGTCCTCTCTCAGTGGGCTTACATCACAATAAACAGCGCAAGTTGTGATGTAAAACAGCTGTGGTAGTAAAGTGCTTGTCTGCCCCATTTTGCTTTGTTTGGCTGGTTATGAGTGGATTAAATATACATTTTTGAAATTCTCCAGCATAGACTGATTAGTTTAAAGTCAATTTTCTTCGCAACTAGTCCTTTTCACAGCTTACCGATTACTACAGCCAGTGTTAAATCTACTCTGTTCCTAAGGGCAACTAAACCAACTGTAGCTTTTATTGAAATTCTTCATAGCCCTACTTTTTAAAGCATCTTTTGAAAATGGGGGGAAAAATTAAACATACTGACTTTGCAGTTAGAGTTTTCCGGCATCATGTTTGTAGCTGCTTTTTTAATTTATGCATGTCCGGTTGAGGTATTTATTACTAGCTTTAAAAGTGTGTGTGGGAAGATATCAGTGGGGACAGTAAAAGTGAAGTAATTCTTGAAGGAAAGTTACTTGGGGTTTTTTAAAAAATGAATTTCTAAAGTTTTTTATTTTAAAACTCCTGGTACCATAGCTTACAATTGTTTGCATTATTTATTAATTTGACTTTGCCACAATAATCTGGAATTAATTCCTAATTGGACGGTAACCATGGTGGCTAGTTGGGTTTAAACTGGGAGAAGTAGGTTTGGTTGTAAGCTGTGAGAATGGCTTGTGTTTGGTTCACTGTAGCTTTCTGGTCTCTGCACTCCAAGGCAAGATCTCTAACCACCCAAACCCAATGTATAAAGTGAGCTGTTGGCTTTGCTTTGCATCTTACCTTGATTATGTGTTCCTGTTACAGGGAGAACAGATCCTATTCCCATTGTTGTCAAGTATGATGTCATGGGCATGGGCCGCATGGAAATGGAGGTAAATTGATCTCATTAGCTCACTTGTTATATGGTATATTTAAAATTTATATTCATCCCAAGTTCAGATGCTATAAGAATACATTTATTAGATAATATAGTTTTGATACTTCTTTAAAAATTTAAAAATATTTTGACATCACCATTTAGTGCTGCCATTGAGGCAGGTTGGTGGTTAATAGTGCCAGATAAAAGCCCAAACTCTGTATTCCTTCTAGTAGGCAGTGTTGTTCAGCTCTTAAAATACTTTCTGTGGTAGTAGACACTTTACCCCTGTTGAATTATGTATAGCTGTCATCTGTGATACGTGTTTTTCATTGCCTAAAACATTTGCTCCATATAATTTTTAATTCTTTGGCATTGAACATTGAAGAGTTTGTTATCAACAAATGTGCCAATTGGAAATGGCACATTAATGATCTATTTTGCAACTATTTTCTCTGTGGGGTGACAAAGCAACAGGTAGCTGGGCAAAGTACAATGGTTTTTATTTTCATACAATACTGTAGTTGTATGACTTGTTAAAATCACTAATTGGGGTTGCTTTAGGAATTAAGACCAATGATGTCTATTTTTGTTAAGCTTGATTATGCTGAAGATGCTACCGAACGGCGCCGTGTCTTAGAAGTGGAAAAAGAAGACACAGAAGAATTGAGGCAGAAGTACAAGGTACTTCAATAAACCATTCTTGCATGTGTGGTGTTCACACTAAAGAGTTATTCACTTTTGGTAAAAAGGATCTCTGGTGACAGCAGTATTTGGGTAGTGATTAGTATAGTAGATGCCAGATTTCTGTTACTTTCCTGTTGTCTCTAAAATCTATAGAGATCACATTGGTGTTTGAAAGTACAGTGCTGGGACATAGTGTGCAATCATAACAGTAAAAATAGTTACTCAGGAATCCTTTGAAAATGGTCCTGTCTCTGTGTCTCACCCACTAAGTCTTAATAAATATTGTCAGAACCTCCCCATACCACCCAGTTTAAATAAATCCTTCACTTTGTCTTGTTCTCTTGTAACACTCTTCTATAATTTATAATTATGAATTTGTGTTTTTCATTTATAGTTTCTACTGGAAAAAAATGATCCATTTGTATATTGCATCCAGCATAGTGACTGGCACATAAGTACTCAACATATATGAGTTGAATAAATCATTTCTTAAAAGTAACGGGAAAGGACAGATTTATTTGATATACTATTTGAAATAAGAACATTTTAAAGACTATGTTTTGATTGTTCAAGTAAAATTACAATGTCAAATGAATAGTCAATAATGAAAAGCGTAGTAGTCTCACAAGAGTATGCATTATATTTTAAGGCCCCGTTTCCTTCCCCAATAAATTATTGGGTTGTCAAGAATATCATGACACATTTTTGCAACAGATGGCACTAGTTCTGTGCAAGTAGTAGAGTCATTTGCATCTATATCATTGCTCATCATGTGACCGTTGAGTGTTCTAGCTTCATTCTAAAAAAAAAGAATGATGTGGTTGAGTTTTGGAGATTTATACCAAGTTGAGGATGGAAGACCAAACTGCAATTTCACCATATTTTACTATTTTAGTGCTGTAAAGGGAAGAATACACATCAAGCTTGTGAAAAGTTGCGTAAAGTTTATGGTTACAGTGCTCTACAAGAATGTCAGTGCCAGTGGTGGTTCATGAAATCCTGTGCTGATGATTTTGATTTTAATGATGCCCCACTGAGGTTGATGATGACAAAATAAAGGCAGTGATCGAGTCAAAACCACTTACAAAACACAAGAGATTGCAGAAACTTTGAACACCCATCATTCAAGCATTCATGACCACCTAAAAAGCTGGGATACATAAGCAAGCTCGATATTTGGGTTCCTCATGAACTCAAAGAAGTTCATTTTACAACGCTTATAAACAGCTGCCATATGCTCATTAAACATCAGGAAAATATCTTCTTTTGAAATGACTAATAACTGGTAATGAGAAGTGAATTGTTCACAACAATGTAGTACACAAATGGTCTTGGTCATGATGTTATGGTGTCTTTTTTGAGCTCCTACCAAACAATCATGGCAAATGTGTACTGTCGGCATTTAGACAGCTTGAACTAATCCATCATTCAGAGTTGCCCAGAGCTTGTTAATTGTAAAGGCATTGTATCATCACAACAGCGGAAGACAACATGCAAGTTTGATCACCCGTCAAAAATTATTGGCGCTTTGATGGGATGTCAGACTTCACTTGTTTCCTCTCTGTAAAACTTACATGGTATAATGTTCAAGTCAGCCGAGGCTGTAAATCAGCATTTTGCTTGGTTTTACTTGGACAAAAAGAGGTCGATAAGGAATTGTGGAGTTTGCTGAAAGATGGCACAAAGTTATCAAACAAACAGGCAACATCTCATTGACTAATCTTTGTATTGATCTTTTTTACCTTTTTCCCCCCCTCTTCACTAAACTGGAAATAATAAATGGTTTTTGTTACTCTGTAGTTGCCCTGGAAATTACCATATTTTACTTTACCTTCTGCACAAGCAATTTAACATTTTGGAGTGTTTTGAGACCCCTTCAACTCTCTTCTGTCTTGCATACATAATAGTGGGGTAAAATTTAAAACTCTTGATTTTTATGGGGAAGATACAGCATAAATAAAAGAAAAAAGAATAGATGATCTAAATGGAATGAGTTCAGTTTAGAGCATCTGAAGTTGCAGTGCCCTTTATACATTCAGTACATAAGAATATTCAAATCTGGAATATATGGGGGTTGTGGGGTGGGGATTGGTCTCAACAAGGGATAAAAGGTCGATATGTCAGCATATTGGAAGATTTTAAAGCTGCAGGAATGGATTGTTCCACCAAATGGAATAAGGAAAATGCAGTATTAGGAGATGACTAGTTTTTTCAGTAGTGTAATGTGGAAATTGGACCGGCTGAATAAAAAAAAGAATCAGTAATTTGAAGGGGAAAAAGACAAAACTAGCAGGCAAAATATAAATTGCAGACATTAAACAGGTGGGGGAGGGAGAAGGATTAAAACGGGTGAGAAGAACACAAGACACTGTGGTGATGGTTCACAGATGTCTTGGTGTTTGGGATTTCATAGGGACTACACCTAAAGGAGGAATCATCACATTGTACAAAAAGGAACAGTGATGTAAAATATAAGTAAATACAGTTTAACAAAATATAAAGCTTTGTAGTAATTTGAAGATAAGTTAGTATAAATTTCCAAACTGAAATAGAAAGAAAATGTGAAAAAACAATTTTTTAATGCACACAATAATGATTCTAATACTTTCATATTACTAAAGCCCCTATAGGAAATAGAAATGGATGAATTCTAGGAAGTGATGACTGAGAATGCTCCAAAATTAATTAAAATGTAGTTGTTAGGGGCTTCTTTCTCTCTCTCTTTTTTTCCAGTGGGTCATAAAATAACATTTTAAGTGAAATATAGTTTAAAGAGTTTTAGGCAAATATCTTAAGAAGTAAATTCAATTTCTAGAGCAACTTAGACTTCAAAAAACTCCTAGATTTAGCCCTCCAAATAGAAGATCATGATCATAATTGCTCATTTTTGTAGTATCATTTTAAACATTTCATTACCTTATTCAGACTACTCCAAAATCTGAGATCTTTGAACCTAGATCTATTATTTCCTGTGACTTGACTTAACGATACATTTATTTCCTTTTGTGTATGTAGTAATCATTGTAACTCATTCTGTTGATCTTAACCTCAGAAAGTTTAGGCCCAAAGCGATTTTTTTTTTTTTTGAGAGTACTTTTTAGTCCTTCTGCTAAGACCCATGTCTTAATTAAGATCTCTGCCGTCCCATCTTCAAACAACTAGCAACAACAAATGTTGGCAAGGATGTGGAGAAAAGGAACTC